TGCCACTTTCTGATTATTTTTCACTGTTACTGCATTTGCATTTACGGCTGTTTATTTGTAGGTGGCGATCTCAACCGGCTGACAAATGATGCCATATCGACGCCAGATGAATCTAGATATTTGCCTTTTTTTGAGTCTCTAGTGTTACTAATGCCGGTGTACTGCTGCCGAATTAAAGCTGGACAGTGTCAGCCTGTAAACATCTTTTGAGGCTTAGCAAGTTTGCCCCGAAGTATTGCAATAAAAAGGGAGAAGGGGCCATGGAGGCCCAAACAAGAAGTGATCATTCCAAATAGGAATGTCCGCGTTGTGGTAGACGAAGATTGGGAATAAAAACCTCAGTACCATCCGTGCCAGTATAAAATATGTAGGTCAAAAACTCCTTATGAAGTCGCAAAATTCTAGAGGTGTTAAACTAACGTAAGGGAAAATGGACGATTCGGATGAGGTAGCCAGATCGAATGAAACTGGAAAAAGTTTTTCTGCGTTTGATGGGCCGAACCAAAAGTTCTGAAACAACGTCCAATCCAAGCCGTTCGAAATCCTGAAAAAATTTTAATGAGAGGGGAAAAAGACATTAGATGATGAAATAATAAAGCTTGTCGCAGTTGACAGGAAACAACAACCTGATACTGTTTAAGCCCGCATTTTTCAAACAGAAGAAGGAAACTTGACTTTTCCAAAAGTAGTTCTTTTTTCGTCAGTTTTACAGATCACTTCGCACCTGCTTCACTCGTGCAGTATCCCGTCGAGTTCCTCATTTGAACAAACCGCAGCTTCGAAAAAAGCATGTTGCTTTTTATGCGTTTTTGCTGCGCAGCGCCATAGCAGGTATAGCGCTGCTACAGCCAGCAAAAACGCATATTGTCAAGAGGCTGTCTGTGTGTGTGTTCGGAAGCGCGTGCATTTTATCATCCACTTTCATCTCAGTAACCAGGAAAGTTGGGAAGCTGAAACTTCAAGTATACGTTCCTATCCCGTGTGTCATCCTCCCGTTTTAAGATCTTTCGCCATATGCGCCTAGACCCCGCGTACGGGCCCCCAACAAAATTACGTTAGCGAGAAACGATTTCGCGATCCAGGCAAGGTAGGAAGCTGAAACACTGCAGGGATATTCCCTATGCTCGTGCGAGCTAACGATTTTAAACTCAGCTGTCAAGCATCCCAGCCACAGCCTCAAGCAGATTTTCAACACCAAAAATCGTTGGCGACTCGGACCTGAACCTCAATCTTATATGCAAATGAACATGGATTTTTTGTCAAACGACCGCTCGAGCTTTTTAGTGGACTGGAAATTTGCACTTTTTCGAAAAATTTGCATTTGTCATTTTTTTACAAAGCGAGCATTTACCGAAAAAACGACTGGACTTCTTGCAAATAACCGGTAATCTTGCACCTGGGTGTCCGTGCGGCTCTACAATACACTACCTTCATCCCAACTGATCCCCTTCCTCCTGCATGCCTGAAGGTATCAAAGCACGCCGATGTGACCCAAGTGTTAGGCTACAGCGTAGGGATCATTCCTGCTAATAGCGGTCTGTGAGTTTAATGCAAAAACGCATGATCGCACCGGAGAGCCTGGTGCGTTCCAGCCTGGGTTTCTTTTGCTGATTCTATTTTGTTTGTTTTTGACGCAGGACGCTACTGTCCACTTGGATTTTCACCTCCTTCTTTAAGCAAAATTTCGCTATATTTTAGTAATATTGACATCCATTGATAAAATTTTGTCTCTGGCGGAGCTGTTCATTCGTTTAATTGGCTGCATTTTTCCTACATAGCCCGGTAATTGTGAAAATTTGATTGTTGTAGCATAAAATGTTATTTCTTTTTAAATGAAAAAAATGTTTTTGAAAACTTATTGCGAACGGAGTACTTGCAATGGATATGGGGCAGGGCGGCAAAATGACCAGAAGGCTGACTATCGGCAGTACAGTATTGGTCGAAGTGTCTAGAAAAGTTGCTAACTGCTTAGAGAAGAAATAGGTTGTCTTCCAACTAGCGCCATATTCGTACGCAACGCTTTATCCAATTGCTTGAGGTTGATTGTTTTTATTGGCTTCAGCACGTATACTCGCAGGAGTTGTTTTCAGATTTTTCAAGGTTTTTATTGTCTTTCAAGAAGTTAGACGGAATCCCTTCCTCATTCACCTTCTGTGAAGAATAGAGGCATTCAAAAATGGCCCGAGTGTTAGCACTTTCCAAAAGCAGCAAAATCCGCTGACAAGGCTCTCTATGTTTTACAGTCTGTAGACTATAAGTAAGCTAGTGACAATCGCAAAAAATGAAATTAAAGTCTCTTTTTTTGAAGGTAAAATTCCCACTATAGATGTCACCCATTGTACGGTATTTCGGAAGAAACAGGTGCGGCGGGAACTTGACAAACTTGAAAA